GGGGGTTGGGCCAAGTAGGGGCCTGGGTGGGACTCAGTGAGGGGTTAACCCCTTCTCACCATGGGGCCCGCTTGCCTTTGGCTGTGCTGGGGGTCGGTGGGGGGCTCCATGGCTGCTGGGGGGTGTCTGGGGGGCTTTGGGAGAGTGGGGGTGCAGCGGGCTTTCACCTGCGCATCTCTCTCCACTCTGGAGCCTAACTGATCAATAATCAATTAATACTATACCTGATATTGATCTCACTACTCTGTACATTTGAAGCACTCTCACAACTCCCTAGCCCAGCTAGACTATCCCTGTTGTTATGACTTGATCACGCAGTTGGGGAGATAATGGATTATCCACAGCCTAAGATAGCTATTATATTTTTAACAATTCTCAGATGCCTCAAACAGTGCATGTTAACATTTCTGATATTATTTTTCCTAATATTCTTTGCTGACCTGAAATTGCTTTGCATCTCCAAATTCTAGCCGTAAAGGAATTGGTATTTCTTGTTCAATACTATTTCTAGAATTAATTTCCTCTTCAGTATATTTTCCAGCTGTTGTTTCCAAATCATTCAGGATTTGGTCAAGCCAGTTTGTACCTGAAAGAAAAAAACCAGTTCCAGAACTGTGACTTGAGAATTTTCACTACAACTTTGAACCTAGTTGGCTTGCAAATACCCTTGTCTTTAAAAAATAGTAATAATAACTAGGACACAAGAATAATTGGCATTCCAAGATGGTAGCTGAAAACCTAAAAATCTTATTGCGATACAGGAATATTTCCTACTGTTTTTGAAACAGCAGCACCCAATGAGCAGAAAAGTACTGTTCCATCAGGTTATATAATTTGTGAACAATATAACAAACAGGAACAACTGAGTTGCGTCATATGATCTACTTTGTGAGGAACAATTTACTTAGAAGCCACTAAGTTCAGAAGCATGTTTCTTGATTCAGTGAAAGAAAGTCAAATGCAAATCATAAAGTAAAGATAATTGTTGCCACTGAATATGCTGTTTCTTGCCAATCAACGTTGTATCAATACTAACTTTACCAAAAGCAAATTATACAATAATGCCTTCTCAAAAGAAAGCAGCTTAGATGGAAACAGAGTAATAGTGCTGGTGATTGAAGCTTATGTGAAATCTGGAATAACTCATATCAAAGAGCTAAATTGCTCTTTTGTTTTCATTTTACCCATGTAAATTTGGAATCTTTCCAAATATATAGTACTGTAACTGATGGTAGAATCTGATCCTGTCATTCCAAATCACATTTGTTCAATTTATAAGTGAAAGGATTGTTTTCCAAGCTTCCAACCTTTGAAACACCATGAAGGTGAAACTGTTCCTGCTGTATTATTCTCAACTCACTCAGAATCAACTGGCATAGATTTTAGTGAAGATTTCTGGTCTTCACTGAATCAAATCTAAAATGAGGCATAAATGAGCATTTTAATAATACATATCTTTTGATATTTTGGTTAGATCTTACAATCTTTTACTTTTCATGCTTGTGAATTCAGATTCAACCTGAAGCAGATACTACCAAAAACTCACCAAAAAATTGTATCTATATTCTAAACCAATAAATACCACATGTATAGTTACTGAAAAATGTAATTATTCAGGCAGAGACTAAGTGAATAAAAGTAATTCATTCCAAACCTCACCCCTGCCTACACACTAAAATACATTACATACTCCAATGTAGGCAGTCTACAGAAGAAACTATCTTACTTGTTTTAAGAAACCCCTAAAACACTATCTTCATAACAGACCCCATTTACCTTAAACTGCATTAATTCATTAATCATCCAACAGCATTCAATACAATTAATACAAGTATAGCATGTCACATTTAAATTGTGTAGCAAACTAGCAATATTGACCAGTTTTAGGGTATCCTGCTAGGATTATATCATCATTCCTAGCTTCAAAAGACTGAAGTGCTTTGAAATTTTCTGGGCTGCATAACGTGGCAGGATACAAAACTCCTTCATAGGAAATTAGCAAATCTTCTGGGGCCATCTTTTCACCGTTAGCCAATGTCTCATCCAGTAATTCAACAGTAATTCTCCTCCTGTCTTTATCCATGCTTGTTTCTCTATGAAACTGTGAGAGAGACTGAGGCATAGGTTGTGTTTTAGCAGTATAGATAGATTTTGTTACAGATACTTCATAAAAGGGCAAAGAACATTCAGGAAGAAAGTAAATGTTACTGATTAACTCAAGTGCTTGAGACTAAAGGAGGGTAGGTCTTGCTTTATATTTACTCTATGGAAGTTCAATGTTACAATATCTCATTAGTGGCAGGTCCTGTCAGACCAGCCTGGTGGCCTTTTACGATCAGATCACCAGATCATTAGATGCAGGGGTAGCAGTGGACATAGTCTTCCTGGACTTCTGGAAGGCCTTCGACACTGTCTCTCACCCCATTCTCATTAAGAAACGGGGGGACTGTGATGTTGACACCCACACAGTCAAATGGGTCGCCAACTGGCTGGAGGGCCACACCCAGAGAGTGGTAGTGGATGGGTCCTTCTCGACCTGGAAGGACGTGGGCAGTGGGGTTCTGCAGGGCTCGGTCCTCGGGCCCACACTGTTCAACATCTTCATCAGTGGCTTGGACGAGGGGGTAAAAAGCACCCTGTTCAAATTTGCTGATGACACTAAGATGTAGGGGGATGTGAGCACGCTAGAAGGAAGCAACAGGCTACAATCAGACCTTGACAGGTTACAAGGGTGGGCGGATGAGAATA